GCGGTCTCTCTCTGACAGTCTCCTGTAACGTGGGAGCGATCTCTGACAGTCTCCTGTAACGTGGGAGCGGTCTCTGACAGTCTCCTGTAACGTGGGAGCTATCTCTGACAGTCTCCTGTAACGTGGGAGCGATCTCTGACAGTCTCCTGTAACGTGGGAGCGATCTCTGACAGTCTCCTGTAACGTGGGAGCGATCTCTGACAGTCTCCTGTAACGTGGGAGCGATCTCTGACAGTCTCCTGTAACGTGGGAGCGATCTCTGACAGTCTCTCCTGTACTGTGGGAGCGATCTCTGACAGTCTCCTGTAACGTGGGAGCGATCTCTGACAGTCTCCTGTAACGTGGGAGCGATCTCTGACAGTCTCCTGTAACGTGGGAGCGATCTCTGACAGTCTCCTGTAACGTGGGAGCGTTCTCTGACAGTCTCCTGTAATGTGGGAGCGTCTCTCTCTGACAGTCTCCTGTAATGTGGGAGCGGTCTCTCTCTCTGACAGTCTCCTGTAATGTGGGAGCGGTCTCTCTCTGACAGTCTCCTGTAATGTGGGAGCGGTCTCTCTCTGACAGTCTCCTGTAATGTGGGAGCGGTCGGTCTCTCTCGATCTCTGACAGTCTCCTGTAATGTGGGAGCGGTCTCTCTCTGACAGTCTCCTGTAATGTGGGAGCGGTCTCTCTCTGACAGTCTCCTGTAATGTGGGAGCGTCTCTCTCTGACAGTCTCCTGTAATGTGGGAGTGGTCTCTCTCTGACAGTCTCCTGTAATGTGGGAGGTCGTCTCTCTGACAGTCTCCTGTAATGTGGGAGCGGTCTCTCTCTGACAGTCTCCTGTAACGTGGGAGCGGTCGATCTCTGACAGTCTCCTGTAATGTGGGAGTGGTCTCTCTCTGACAGTCTCCTGTAATGTGGGAGCGGTCTCTCTCTGACAGTCTCCTGTAATGTGGGAGTGGTCTCTCTCTGACAGTCTCCTGTAATGTGGGGGAGCGGTCTCTCTGACAGTCTCCTGTAATGTGGGAGTGGTCTCTCTCTGACAGTCTCCTGTAATGTGGGAGTGGTCTCTCTCTGACAGTCTCCTGTAATGTGGGAGCGGTCTCTCTCTGACAGTCTCCTGTAACGTGGGAGCGATCTCTGACAGTCTCCTGTAACGTGGGAGCGATCTCTGACAGTCTCCTGTAACGTGGGAGCGATCTCTGACAGTCTCCTGTAATGTGGGAGCGTTCTCTGACAGTCTCCTGTAACGTGGGAGCGGTCTCTCTCTGACAGTCTCCTGTAACGTGGGTGGTGTTAGGTATACACTGATATATATGTGCCCCCCCCAGCACAGGAGATGTATATATATATATACTGTGAGTGTTGTGTCTGTGTGGGACGCGGACAGTGCTGGCCCCTCCCACAGATGGCGGTACAGAGGAGCGCGGTGTTGTGGCACCGGGTGGGTGGCGGTGAGCGGAGCTCTAACACTTCGACATGCAGCTGTGAAAGGAAACCAAACAACAAGAGAAAGACAGACATGATGGAGGATGGGGGCCCGGTGGGTGGGGGAGGGGATGGGGACCCGGCGGGTGGGATGGGGGCCGTGGGTGGGGGGGATGGGATAATGGAGGGGATGGGGGCCCAATGTGGGGGGGGATGGAATGGGGGGCCCGGTGGATGGGATGGGGGGGGCTGGTGGGTGGAGGATGGAATGGGGGCCCGGTGTGGGGGGGGATGGGATGGGGACCAGTGAATCGGTTGGGGGCTGGTGGGGAGGAGGATGGGATGGGAGCCCCAGTGTGTGCAGGATGGGGGCTGGTGGGTGGAGGGAGGGGATAGGGGCTCGTTGGGTGGGGGAAGGGGATAGGGGCCCAGTCGGTGGGGGATGGGGGCCCGGTGTGGGGGGATGGGGGCTCGGTGGATGGGGGCCCGTGGGTTGGGGGTGTGGAATGGGGGCCCAGTGGGAGGGAAGGGGGCTCGGTGTGGAGGGAGGGGATGGGGGCCTGGTGTGTGTGGGGGGGGAGAGGATGGGGGCCCGGTGGGTGTGTGGGGGGGGGGGTAAGATGGGGGCCCGGTGGGTGTGGGGGGGGGACTAATGGAGGACATTTCTCCTTCTGCTGAGTGACAGGAGCAGACAGACATCCCACCTGGACGGAGAGCAGCCCGCTGTGGTCCGGTAGGAGGCGGTACGTGTGCACCTGCTGCTGATACCTGCCAGGAGAAAACAAACCTCACATTACAATCGGGGGAGGGGGGGGGTCTGTACATTGTACACCAAGTCCACAGCCGCCCTATATATTCTGTATTCACAGCTTCCCCCCACCCGGGGAATGACATCATGAGACCACATGATCCATGAATGACACCATGAGACCACATGATCCATGAATGACACCATGAGACCACATTACCAATGAATGACACCATGAGACCACATGATCCATGAATGACACCATGAGACCACATGATCCATGAATGACACCATGAGACCACATTACCAATGAATGACACCATGAGACCACATGATCCATGAATGACACCATGAGACCACATGATCCATGAATGACACCATGAGACCACATTACCAATGAATGACACCATGAGACCACATGATCCATGAATGACACCATGAGACCACATGATCCATGAATGACATCATGAGACCACATGATCCATGAATGACACCGTGAGACCACATGATCCATGAATGACATCATGAGACCACATGATCCATGAATGACACCGTGAGACCACATGATCCATGAATGACATCATGAGACCACATGATCCATGAATGACACCGTGAGACCACATGATCCATGAATGACACCATGAGACCACATGATCCATGAATGACACCGTGAGACCACATGATCCATGAATGACACCGTGAGACCACATGATCCATGAATGACACCGTGAGACCACATGATCCATGAATGACATCATGAGACCACATGATCCATGAATGACACCGTGAGACCACATGATCCATGAATGACATCATGAGACCACATGATCCATGAATGACATCATGAGACCACATGATCCATGAATGACACATGAGACCACATGATCCATGAATGACACCATGAGACCACATGATCCATGAATGACACCATGAGACCACATGACCAATGAATGACACCATGAGACCACATGATCCATGAATGACACCATGAGACCACATGATCCATGAATGACACCATGAGACCACATGATCCATGAATGACATCATGAGACCACATGATCCATGAATGACAACGTGAGACCACATGATCCATGAATGACATCATGAGACCACATGATCCATGAATGACACCGTGAGACCACATGATCCATGAATGACATCATGAGACCACATGATCCATGAATGACACCGTGAGACCACATGATCCATGAATGACATCATGAGACCACATGATCCATGAATGACATCATGAGACCACATGATCCATGAATGACACCATGAGACCACATGATCCATGAATGACACCATGAGACCACATGATCCATGAATGACACCATGAGACCACATGACCAATGAATGACACCATGAGACCACATGATCCATGAATGACATCATGAGACCACATGACCAATGAATGACACCATGAGACCACATGACCAATGAATGACACCATGAGACCACATGACCAATGAATGACACCATGAGACCACATGATCCATGAATGACATCATGAGACCACATGATCCATGAATGACACCATGAGACCACATGATCCATGAATGACACCATGAGACCACATGATTAGGAAGGTTTATAATGTCCTTAGCGGGGGCCGTCCTTAGATTCCCGATTGAACATTTACACATTATTCTGAGCCCTCCAATCAGTGAGCAGCGATTCGCAGACCATACAGATGAAGGTGAGGGACTGACCACCATGGAGCAGCCGGTACTCTGTGGTCAGGTATGATGAGGCCACCGACCTCAGATTTGTAGCCTCAGTGCTGCCATCTCAGGCCGGTTACTTGAAATGCACCTTTTATACGAAACAATTCTCTGACACCGACACACACGGCTGAGCAAAACCACGAGCTCTGACCTGCGCATGCGTTTCTGACGTGTAAGCAATGCATTCTTCCTTGATCCTGCCAGTGCAGCTTCCTGTGACACCGACGCTGCCCTGCTCCTGAAATCACAGCAGAGTTGTCACTCTCATGGGGGCTGTGCCTGCTTTCACTACAGTGGGAGGGGAAGATGTTGCAGGGGGTGTGGCTATAGTCAGCCTGTAGCTTGTTAACCATCACCCAGCCACACCTAGCCCCGCCCACTGCTTCCTAGAGTGACAGCTCTGCCTCCGCTGCTGAACCCCTCCCACTGTGAGCTGCAGTGCCTGGGAAGGGGAGCGCGTGAGACAAGCGGCATAGAGGAGCTGTTCTACCTCGCATTTGTGTCCATCCAGACCTAAGATTTACTCAGCTCTGCCACAAAAGCACTTTTGGTGGAGGGGTAACTTTTTTTTTTTTCTGCAACTTAAACAGGTCTTGTCCCCCCCTCCCCCGCAGAAACATGAAAAGCTCCTTTCTCTGTCCCTCTGCTCTCTCCTCCTGTCAGCGTGTTCCGGCCTGGCACAGGAGCTGACAACATTGGAAGCAGTTCAGATCACTCACATGAGGCAGATGGCGTAGGCTCCGGGCACAGACTCACTTTGGCGCACCAGGAACGCCCCGTCCCGTCCATCGCGGATCAGTAACTGCTCGGCGCTGGTCTGACTCAGCTCCGGATGGTACCAGCACTCGCACATGTTCCTCCTGAAGGGGAATGAGAACATTGTATATATACACACACGGCGCCATCTTTCTTTGGGCATCATCCAGATCATCCCAGGGGCGGACTGACCATTTGGAAACTCGGGCACTGCCCAAGCGCCCGGGGTCAGTAGGGGGCCCCATGAGATGCCCCTGGTACCTTTTTCATAGGCTTTTTTGAGTTTGGGCAAGGACACGGGGCCCCATGATCCCCTATTGCCCGGGGGCCCCATGAGTTGTCAGTCTGCCCTGGATCACCCACATGTGATGCTGAACCTCCAAGAAGTGAACTCCAATGAAAGCAAGGGGCGGGGCCAGGGACAGTCAGGCTGGGGAGGAATGGGGTAGAGGATGCTGGATTTCCTCCAATCAGGAAATGAGGCGGAGCGCTATCTGACTGGCTGCAGCTTCTAATGCACATTGTGAGACGCTCCCAGTGTGTGGTGACATCACAGGAAGCCGCTTCAGTCCAGGGGAGGAGCCGGACACCTGTGCAAGACTGAAGGGGAGGAGGCAATACACCTGTGCAAGACTGGAGGGGAGGAGCCGGTACACCTGTGCAAGACTGAAGGGAAGAGGAGTTGGTATAACTATGCAAGACTGAAGGGGAGGAGCCGGGACACCTGTGAAAGAGTGGAGGGGAGGAGCCGGCACACCTGTGCAAGAGTGAAGGGGAGGAGCCAGTACACCTGTGCAGGACTGGAGGGGAGGAGCTGGTATACCTGTGCAAGACTGAAGGGGAGGAGCCGATACACCTGTGCAAGACTGAAGGGGAGGAGCCGGTACACCTGTGCAAGACTGAAGGGGAGGAGCCGGTACACTTGTGCTAGACTGAAGGGGAGGAGTTGGTACACCTGTGCATGACTTAAGGGGAGGAGCCAGTACACCCTGTGCAAGGATGAAGGGGAGGAGCTGGTAAAACTGTGCAAGACTGAAGAGGAGGAGCCAGTACACTTGTGCAAGACTAAAGGGGAGGAGTCGGTACACTTGTGCAAGACTGAAGGGGAGGAGCCAGGACACCTGTGCAAGGCAAGAAGGGCAGGAGCCGATACACCTGTGCAAGACTGAAGGGGAGGAGCCGATACACCTGTGCAAGACTGAAGGGGAGGAGCCGGTACACCTGTGCAAGACTGGAGGGGAGGAGCTGGGACACCTGTACAAGACTGAAGGGGAGGAGCCAATACAACTGTGCAAGACTGAAGGGGGAGCCAATACAACTATGCCAGACTGGAGGGGAGGAGCCGGTACACCTGTGAAAGAGTGAAGGGGAGGAGCCGGTACACCTGTGCAAGACTGAAGGGGAGGAGTCGGTACAAACTGTGCAAGACTGAAGGGGAGGAGTCGGTACACCTGTGCAAGACTGAAGAGGAGGAGTCGGTACACCTGTGCAAGACTGAAGGGGAGGAGCCGGTACACCTGTGCAAGACTGAAGGGGAGGAGCCAGTACACCTGTGCAAGGCTGAAGGGGAGGAGTCGGTACAACTGTGCAAGACTGAAGGGGAGGAGTCGGTACACCTGTGCAAGACTGAAGAGGAGGAGTCGGTACACCTGTGCAAGACTGAAGGGGAGGAGCCGGTACACCTGTGCAAGACTGAAGGGGAGGAGCCGGTACACCTGTGCAAGGCTGAAGGGGAGGAGTCGGTACACCTGTGCAAGACTGAAGGGGAGGAGCCAGAACACCTGTGCAAGACTGAAGGGGAGGAGCCAGTACACCTGTGCAAGACTGAAGGGGAGGAGCTGGTACACCTGTTCAAGACTGAAGGGGAGGAGCCAGTACACCTGTGCAGGTCAGAAGGGAAAACCAAGGGGAGAATTTTACTAATGGTAAATCTGCCAAAAATTTCCACGCAGTTGTCATGTGACAGTGGAACTCAGACGAGGGCTCATGGTAGCAATTACTTCATTACAACTCTTTCGGTGAATACAGCAGCCCAGAGCCGATCTTTCCTGGAAATGACGAATAAAGAGGTTTTGGAGGAAACCATCAGAGCTGAATTAGGTCACACCTCAGAGACGTTCTGTAAGATACAGAACTTGATTTGTTTGCATTTCTCACAGTATAGAGCAGCCAGCCTCACCTCCAGGGTTCCTCCAGAGGCTGCTAAGGGTTCCCTGAACAATGAAGGGTCTGGGGCCAACACCAGTCAGCAAAGCTGGCAGCATGGGACCAATAGAGCCTCTCCTCTCCTTTGTAATGGGGCCACTTTTCCCAATAACAACCAATGTAAGGAGCACCTTCGCTAACCCTCAACGTAGGGAGGTCCTTCTCAAAATGATCACCATTGTAAGTGGCCCTTCTCCACTAACCACTAATGAAGGAGGGGCTTCTCCACTATCCACCAATGAAGGAGGGCCTTCTCCACTAACCACTAATGAAGGAGGGGCCTTCTCCACTAACCACTAATGAAGGAGGGGGCTTCTCCACTATCCACCAATGAAGGAAGGAGGGGCTTCTCCACTATCCACCAATGAAGGAGGGCCTTCTCCACTAACCACTAATGAAGGAGGGCCTTCTCCACTAACCACCAATGAAGGAGGGCCTTCTCCACTGACCACCAATGAAGGAGGGCCTTCTCCACTAACCACTAATGAAGGAGGGCCTTCTCCACTAACCACTAATGAAGGAGGGCCTTCTCCACTAACCACTAATGAAGGAGGGCCTTCTCCACTGACCACCAATGAAAGAGGACTTTTCTCCACTGACCACCAATGAAGGAGGGCCTTCTCCACTGACCACCAATGAAAGAGGACTTTTCTCCACTGACCACCAATGAAAATGAAAGAGTCCTTCTCCACTGACCTCTAATGTAAGAGAGCCTAACTCCCAATAACAACCATTGTAAGGGACACCTTCACTAACCCTCAACGTAGGGAGGTCCTTCTCAAAATGACCACCATTGTAAGTGGCCCTTCTCCACTAACCACTAATGAAGGAGGGCCTTCTCCACTAACCACTAATGAAAGAGGTCCTTCTCCACTGACCACCAATGAAGGACGACCTTCTTCACTGACTCCAATGAAAGAGGTCCTTCTCCACTGACCACCAATGATGGAGGACCTTCTTCACTGACCACCAATGAAGGAGGACCTTCTTCACTGACCACCAATGAAAGAGATCCTTTTCCACTGACCACCAATGAAGGAGGGGACCTTCTTCACTGACCACCAATGAAAGAGATCCTTCTCCACTGACCACCGATGAAGGAGGACCTTCTCCACTAACACTAATAAAGGAAACCCTTTTCCATTGACCACCATAGTAATTATATAAAGATCTATATAGAGGAATCAGGACCTCCTTCCTCCTGCCGGTGACCCCTCTAGTGATAGGATCTATATAGAGGAATCAGGACCTCCTTCCTCCTGCCTGTGACCCCTCTAGTGATATAAAAGCTCTATATAGAGGAATCGGGACCTCCTCCTTCTCTCCTGCCGGTGGTGACCCCTCTAGTGATATAAAGATCTATATAGAGGAATCAGGACCTCCTTCCTCCTGCCGGTGACCCCTCTAGTGATATAAAGATCTATATAGAGGAATCGGGACCTCCTTCCTCCTGCCGGTGACCCCTCTAGTGATAGGATCTATATAGAGGAATCAGGACCTCCTTCCTCCTGCCGGTGACCCCTCTAGTGATATAAAGATCTATATAGAGGAATCAGGACCTCCCTTCCTCCTGCCGGTGACCCCTCTAGTGATATAAAGATCTATATACAGGAATCAGGACCTCCTTCCTCCTCCTGCCGGTGACCCCTCTAGTGATATAATGATCTATATAGAGGAATCAGGACCTCCTTCCTCCTGCCGGTGACCCCTCTAGTGATAGGATCTATATAGAGGAATCAGGACCTCCTTCCTCCTGCCGGTGACCCCTCTAGTGATAGGATCTATATAGAGGAATCAGGACCTCCTCTCTCCTGCCGGTGACCCCTCTAGTGATATAAAGATCTATATACAGGAATCAGGACCTCCTTCCTCCTGCCGGTGACCCCTCTAGTGATCTATATAGAGGAATCAGGACCTCCTCCTCCTGCCGGTGATCCCTCTAGTGATATAAAGAGGAATCTCCTATAGAGGAATCAGGACAGGACTCCTTCCTCCTGCCGGTGACCCTTCTAGTGATTGGATCTATATAGAGGAATCAGGACCTCCTTCCTCCTGCCGGTGACCCCTCTAGTGATATAAAGATCTATATAGAGGAATCAGGACCTCCTTCCTCCTGCCGGTGACCCCTCTAGTGATAGGATCTATATAGAGGAATCAGGACCTCCTTCCTCCTGCCGGTGACCCCCCTAGTGATATGAAGATCTGTATAGAGGAATCAGGACCTCCTTCCTCCTGCCGGTGACCTCTCTAGTGATAGGATCTATATTGAGGAATCAGGACCTCCTTCCTCCTGCCGGTGACCTCTCTAGTGATAGGATCTATATAGAGGAATCAGGACCTCCTTCCTCCTGCCGGTGACCCCTCTAGTGATATAAAGATCTATATAGAGGAATCAGGACCTCCTTCCTCCTGCCGGTGACCCCTCTAGTGATAGGATCTATATAGAGGAATCAGGACCTCCTTCCTCCTGCCGGTGACCCCTCTAGTGATATAAAGATCTATATAGAGGAATCAGGACCTCCTTCCTCCTGCCGGTGACCCCTCTAGTGATAGGATCTATATAGAGGATCGGGACCTCCTTCCTCCTGCCGGTGACCCCTCTAGTGATATAAAAAGATCTATATAGAGGAATCAGGACCTCCTTCCTCCTGCCGGTGACCCCTCTAGTGATAGATCTATATAGAGGAATCAGGACCTCCTTCCTCCTGCCGGTGACCCCTCTAGTGATAGGATCTGTATAGAGGAATCAGGACCTCCTTCCTCCCACCACTGCTAAATGTTGTCAAACATGCCACTTTCTGCTCTTGGAAAGCTATTTTCTGAAGTTCATCAACAAGCAAGTATGCAAATTTAGATACCACACACACACGCAAGAAACCAAATGAGCGCCATTCTACATCCTACCCAGGCGTGAAGCTGTGCTCACACGAGAGCGACCCATAGGAAAAGGTCACGTATGTGCCGTGTGTAGACGGCCACCCGTGTATAAATGGGTTGTGTAAAGCCCGGACATGTGCTCACCTTCTGTCGTTGGGCTTATGGTTGTCACGTAGATGTTCTCTCTCCGCTGCCTAAGCTGTAGAGCGCATCGTGTTCCGCAGGAGTGAGAAGGAAGGAAGACATTAAATACATCATAACCCACAAAACCCCAGACTGCCAAACCAACGTGAGACCTGAGAGGAGCGCAATCACACAAATCGCAGAGAGCCCGCCTGAGTCACACGGAGAAAACACTCCAGAATTCTGTACAAAATGACACATTTCAGACTTTCAGCAACAAAAGAACCCACATGGAAAAAAATATAGATTTTAAATATATTTTAAAAATTTTCTTCCCAAATGTATTGACATATATCTGAAATACTACAATTGTGTTCATATATTGAATATACTTCAAAATATATATATATATATGTATACACACACACTGTATATATATATATATTGAAATATAGTTTGAAATATATTGAAAATATATATATATACACACACATACTGTATGTGTATTTTTATTACAGAATGTAATTTTCTTTTTAAATATTCTTCCCAAATATATTGACATATATTTGAAATACTACAATTTTGTCCGTATTCAATATATTTCAAAATATATTTTTATATATATATATATACATATATAGATATATACACTGTATGTCGAAATGCATTTTCATTACAAAATGTATGAATAAATTTTGAAATATACTGTCATGTTTTTAAAAATACATTC